AAAAAAGTCCGATAATTTCATCACTATGTAAACAATTTTATTTTCAGTAGTTTTTGTAAACAATTTTGAAAATGTTAATTTTTTGTAATGTATTTTATAAACACTAGGTATACTGTTTTCGACCCATACTCATCAGATGGCTCAAAACCAGGAGGGGGTACTGTAACGGGCTGCTTTTTAAATATAAAATTACCTTGCCCTAATTTATAAGAAATTTGTGTATATATAAAAAGTTGTTATTTTATCTTTACCGTGCAAAGTTATTTTTATCATAAGAGTACGTTGTGTCAAAGTACGCAAAGTTTGCGGAGGTGTTAAGGCGGTCAGAGCAATTGCTGCGCCGAAAACTTTATGCTGGATCTACTAGATGGCGCAGTCTTGAATTTACAAAGAAATTACATTACGCCAATTTTCCAATCCCCAGAGCTTAAAATAGGTTGTAAACTGCCTTACTTCTTGTATGTCTTTATTCGTACAATTAGGGGATGTTTCCCTGTCACAAGAAGATACGCACAGTGACAGTGAAGGATTTTGTAATAAACAGAAACAAAATTGTGCGTGAGAAGTAGTCCTCCTTATTCTATAAATTCAAATAAAAGAATTGTAAAGTGCGTAGAAGAAACAAGGTCGCGTATCGGAATAATAAACTGAACGAATTGCTGGACAAAGTGCGTCAATATAAACAATTGAATTTGGTATTCGTTAATGGTCACTAAAAGAATGCAGTGTATTGTTAAAATTTGCAGCTTGTTGTTTATACAAAAAACTTGAGGTTTGTTATTGGGTCATTTGGACGAAAATTCAATTATTGGGCAATACATCCCATATTCCGTGACGTCGGTTTTGTGCGAATTATGGGTGATTAAACTTCTGAACGTTTTGTTAGATAATTTCGAATAACTCTTTACATTATTTACTAAAATAGGTTTAATTATCGGGACAGCATGTACATTTATAATTAGGAACTCCTTTTTATCTTAGCTTAGGAAGTAGATCCAAACGTACTAAACACGAAGAGAGAGACGACGAAGTTTACAGGAAGAATTTATTACATCGAACTACACCACGAACCGGAGAAAAAAAGTAGGGCAACCATTATAATCGGTGCAATTGCCAGTGTAGGAATCGTTTGATAACAGTTTAAGATCAATGCAATACGTTACAATTAAAGAACAGTTTACCACAGGTAGAGAGCCCTACGATTAAAACAATGCAATCTAAGACGTCCTATAAAATTGCATAAGCGTATAATATCACATGTTATATATCATTTGACACGACTCAACCACAAAAAGCAATTTATGTGTAATATAACGAAATGAGATTCTCTACAATGTTTACCAAATTAGCTTTACCATGTTTTATATTTAAAAATTTAAACATGTACAAGCAAACGTCTTTGCTAATTTAATGCTACTCGAGAGCTTAAGACATTTATTTTTATACCCCATCAGTGATGTGAATGTAGGACAAAGAACTTGGATGCAGTGAATGTTTGCCATTCCCCGCACCGTCAGTCTAAATAGCACGGAGATGTAACCCTGCGAAGCGTAATTGATCCGCTATCTGCAGACAATGAAGTGCTACCTTAGTCTACGATTAACCCAATTAATTAATACGAGACTAATTACAGCAGCGCAATAGACGAACGAGGCTTTGTTCTAATTTCCATGGAACATAATGAGGACATTGTTCCATTTTAGAACAATCGCCTGAAAAATAGTAATCAAAATCCCGGCAGTGACCCACATTTTGCATACTTACTTATTTTGAGAAGTGCATTTATGACCATTTTATAAGAAAGGATTTCCATTGTACTGCAGCAACGCATAAAAAAGGAAGTTTGCAGACATTATTGCGATTCTGTGCGCGACATGTATCTCGCGAGGAATGCTTTTAATGTTCGATTTCTTTAAATAGGCTTCATGCCTGTTGCTTTAGTCAACATGAAGGGGATAATATGTATTTATAGTCCAGTGCGAGTAGAATAAGTGTACACGGTGATACAGGGCAACATCGGCCATTAATCTCTGACAGCTTTATGAAACCCTTGCGAGGGTGGTATGATGGACGGTCAAACTGGTGTCACATAAATCACAAAATTTTATTGATTAGTGTCGTCCTTTACAAGTGGAAGATATCACCTTTGGGATTTTTGAACGAAAATATGGCAACACTGATTCTTCTTACTTCAAATGCAGCAAAATGGTGGTTTCTAAGCACAACAAAAATCGCGATGCGCATAAAGAACTGACTACAACCTTATGGCATGGTATACAATAATTGTATTGAATTAATAAAGACTGTACAAATAATTCAAATCGCTAAGGTTTATGAAACAAAAAGTTTCAGAAGTGGTGTCGTGGAATAGGAACGGAAAATTACACTGAAAACGTGTTCTTGTGTTCTTTTTTAAAAAATCCAATATGAGTAACACTCCTACCAAAAGAAATTTAGAGTAAACATCCAAAATTACTGTCGCCTCTAAAAAAATGAATGTTATTAACCCAAGAAATCGAAAATTTGTACAGTATATTGTATTGTATGCTTTTGCAAGATCCCACCAATAGGTCTGATTTTAAAACTTTCTCTTATATTTGGAGCTTGCAAAAGAATCAAATTGTTCAATTTACTTACAATCGGTGTACAAACTTCGCTATTACTTACTATTAGAAACACGATAAGCTGTAATGCTGTACAAGACGTTCTATAACGAGAGCATTTAGGTTAGGATTTGAATTTTTGAATTTTCTAGCAAAAATAAGTAAAGTAGCTGTCAAAAATGTTAAAGATCTGAAGTGTCCTCGCACACAAACTTTGGTCGGGTTGGTGTACCTAAAGAATTTCTCTGGATAATTGCGTTCAACGAAATATGTGTCATTACTACCTACTCATTTTCAATAGATTTTTTGTTCCTTAATTACTTGGGAAGATGGTGGGAGTGTAGCTAGAATTACATCATTTTTCGTAGAGCGATATGATTACAATTCTTAGTAAGCGTGAGATAGTTCACTAGGGAAAAAAATTGCAGGATCAGCAGATTTGACAAACGTGGAGGACAATGGAGAATGTGGCCTGTAGAATCCATAATTTCAAACACAGTTCCAAGATCGGACTACTAGATCAAAAGCTACAGCCCTTTGAATTTTTTGTCGAAATTGGTTTTTTGCCCATAACTTTTGATTGAAACGTCTAATCCAAAAAGTACGAATCGTTTTGGATTCTACGCACCCAAATTAATAAGAATAATAAGAAAAAGTTTTTTTCCGAGAAATTTTGGTACAGTCGATTTTTGGTAGAAAAGAAAGGTTATATACTGCCTTCTTTTTGCCCCGAAAAAAAATTGTCTCAGATGGACCGGAAAAAACATATGTTATTATAGAATGTGACCTGAGAATCCATAATTTCAAACAGTTCCAAGCTCGGACTACTAGATCAAAAGTTACAGCCCTTTGAATTTTTTGTCGAAATTGGTTTTTTGCCCATAACTTTTGATTGAGACGTCTAATCGAAAAAGTACGAATCGTTTTGGATTCTACGCACCCAAATTAATAAGAAAAAGTTTTTTTCCGAGAAATTTTGGTGCAGTCGATTTTTGGTAAAAAAGGAAGGTTTAACTGCCTTTTTTTTCGAAAAAAAAATTGTCTCAGATCGACCGGAAAAAAATATTTTCTTATAGAATGTGGGCTGTAGAATCCATAATTTCAAACAGTTCTAAGATCGGACTACTAGATCAGAAGTTACAGTCCTTAGAATTTTTTGTCGAAATTGGTTTTTTGCCCATAACTTTTGATTGAGACGTCTAATCGAAAAAGTACGAATCGTTTTGGATTCTACGCACCCAAATTAATAAGAAAAAGTGTTTTCCCGAAAATTTTGGTGCAGTCGAACTTTGGTAAAAAAGGAAGGTAATACACTGCCTTTTTTTTGCCCCGAAAAATAAATTGTCTCAGATCGACCGGAAAAAACAGATTTTCTTATAGAATGCGGCCTGAGAATCCATAATTTCAAACAGTTCCAAGCTCGGACTACTAGATCAAAAGTTACAGCCCTTTGAATTTTTGTCGAAATTGGTTTTTTGCCCATAACTTTTGTATACAACCTTAATTCACAGACGTGTTGAACAAATACGCGGGAAGTGGTCACCTTACAGTAACAACGTCACCCTTGACGAAGTCCAGACTTTCCTTTCAATACATGATATTCAAATTGAAAAGTAAGGTAATGTCGTAAAGTGACAAAAATGAAAGGTCTAAGTATAATACATTCATTAACCCCCATGATATGCTACAGAATATTTTGAGCTTCTTATCATTAAATTCTCCACACGCTTCTCCCGTAGTTTTTTAATTACGGAGAAAGTAAGGGTTGGGTTCGTTCCTTTAGCGTCCTTCTGAATCTTTTACATAATCGTTAAACTTTTATTAACGCAAATTTACATTTATGTAAATTAAAGTGAATTACTTTTTTTTACATTTACCCGATTTAAAATGCAAAATGTACAAATATTTTTAAACAGCGCTCGGAAAATCATTATCCTCTTCGCAAATTATGATAATTAACTTGTAGGGAGAATTAAATATCTTTTTGGATATACTCGCGCATTAATCAAGTACCAGAAGTTCGCGTTTTTTTTTCATAGAAACGCTAATAGGATTAAATCGAAAATTTAATTTATTCGGCGTGACGGCACAGAAATGTTAAAACGCGAGACTTCCGTTCGCTGCTTCTTGATTCGGTTTATAAATCAAATTTCTTACCGGAAGTAATCAGGAAACTGTACTATATTTATTCGTGTCGTTACATTTAAATGGGCAGAATGTGATATTATTATTTCAGTAAAATTCTCACGTTTCGAGCGCTCGTGCATCTTTTTTTGACCTAAACGTCGTTATCTTTTAGACGCCGCGGATGATATCAACGTAATTTAATGAGATGTGCGGTCGGTTCAATAAAATTCGCACCCTTTTCCTTCTTTTTACGAACAAAAGGGCTTGATTTTAAGGAACTACTCCTAGAATAGCCGCCGTAAATTGAAATGGAAATGCGACTCCTGTTATTTCTACCCCATTAACTTTTGTGGCATTTCGTTCTTTGCTCCAACTGCACGTATGCGATTGTGCCGTAATGCAATATTGAATTTGTGCCGGTTTTATTTCGAGGCTTACGTTTTCCACGGTTATTGGTACATATTTCCACATCGCCGGGCCGGTGTAATTATTTCGCTTGAAGTTGAAGAACTCAATCTTACTACCTACAATAAACAATTGATATTGTGGACCGCAACCTGAAAGTCACGCTACACGTGGTCGATTAGATAAGTAGTTTCAAGACTCCTTAATTCGTTTTACGTGTACCCCAAAGCCGTTAAAGCCACGTTTGTTGTGCGGCTTCCCTTCGGAGCGATCTTTCACGCTGTAAAGGGTTTAATAGAAGTTACTTAAATTATAATTTTCTACGAAACACCACGCTACACCTACAATAATTAGTGGAAACTAGCAATCTGCTTATGTGTGCGTAAATAACCTTCGGGTGAAAGTCCCGCATATAGACCCTTTTCGGTAAGTTTCTGTTTGTCCAATTTTGGTTAGTTTATTACACGCCTCCGTTACTTTGGTCAACATACGGGTCGAATGACTCCCATCGCCACTAATTAGGTTTGCTAATTATTATTTTGAAGGGCAGCGTATTTGAGTTTTTGGGAAACACGAACCCATTTCCGTAACGTAGGGATGTCGACTATTATACACAGTAATAATATCCACTTTAGGGTTCCTTAATTTGTTCGTTTTCAAAATTCCTTTATACGGATTCTAGTTGGTATATTTAATTGCTGGAATGCATCACTCAAAAAGTGTCATCAAGTTATAGGCCCAATGTGCCAATTTAATGTTAACGGACTGGATTTCTTAAGGCACCCCAAAGTATCACAATAAAAAAATCATAAAACCAAAATCTTTCAAAGATAAGTATTATAGTTGAGGAAGATAAGATCAGAGCGTCGTAACGGATTAACTTTTATCAATACCCGATGTTTGGTTGGGCAGACACTTGGAGGGCACTTTAAAAGAAATTAGTTACGCCACTGGTAATAGATTACTCATAAAAACAATAAAACTCAATGACCCTATAGTTAGCTTAACATTTTACGACTTATATTCCTCCCTTTGGATTTGAAAATCTATTCCACTTTCCTTTGGGGTCATAGTCCTCCTGAAATATTGTATTGTGTATTAATTTCGGCGTAAGAGGGGACACCGCAAACGCTCCCTATTGGCGTTATTTTTAAAATTGAGAGAGACAGATTATGATGATTTAGTGTAAGTGGTGTTTGGATAAATAGGAAAAATAAGGAAGTAACTGGGCTGCTCAAGAGACAACGTGTTAAAGAGCTTCTGTAACTTTATAAAGAGATTGGTATTTCTGTTTGCTTGGAAACATAGTTTCGTGCAGATGCAATTAAGGTAAGTCTTGTGAGAAGTTAATGCGGTCTGTCCGTTAAAGGAAGAAGTTGCGTCGGTTTGAAAAAGCAATTTATAGTGCACAATCAGGCCTTGTGAGAAGGTAGCTTGCTCAATAAAAGTCAAAACGTTACCCGTTTTGAATAGCCACCGGTTTGAAAATTAGTAGTTGCGTTAATTAAGCCTGTTTCAATGGAGTAGAAATGTGGTGAAGTTTTTTGAAACCGCCAGCGAGTGTTTTGTATCAGTGCTAAGTGAGTCGGAACATCGCACGACCGTTTGTTACGACCAGATTAGTGTTTGAAAAACTGTAAGTAACTTTAACATTTTCTTTGTTTATTTGTGTCGACCACCTGCGCGTGGGGTGAATGTAATGGGCTTGTTTTTCTTGATCATTTATTCCGTTTGAGTTTCGAAATAAATTCTTTTTTGTCATTGTCAAACAATTAATTGGGTCTTTGTTGATGAAGGACTCCATTGTGTTTGAGTAAATGTTTAATAGAAAAAAGAAGTAAAATTGAGTCGCAATTTTACTTCTTTTTTCAATTAATTGGGTGTTTATTTGAATCCAATTTACAATCCAAATTCTCATGTTAAAATTATATTATACCCAAGATTTATCTCAGGTGTACAATTTGTCTAATTTCCTTGGAATTTAAGGAACCTGGTTAAGGCTACTGAGTCTGCTAAATTATTGCATGTGAGTCATTATTAGGGCTTTGTTTTGTAGCAAATGCCGGAGGTACGAGGAGAGAGCGTTTCAATTTAATTACAAGCAATGCTTACAGATAAATTCCCGAGTACATCAAACTATGATTGCACATTGCACACTGCCTTAAATAATAAAAAAATAAGCTCCTAAAGGTAACCAAATTAACCCCATCTAAATAAATAGCGCAAGAGAAGGAATGAAATAGAAAGCAATTGAAAGGGAGGAAGAGGGACTAATATTGGGAGAAGATTTAAATTCCAAAGCAGAATATAAAGGAAAATTGATAGAGATGGGAAGAGGAACACAAGATAGAAAGTCAAGATATAAAGAAAGCAACAAAGGGGGGCAATTAACAGGATGTAGAATATTAATCGGAAATATGGAGGGAGATAGAGAGGGAAAATGCACATACATGAGAGGAAGAAGGAGGTCATAATTAATTACATACTTTAAGTAAACTAAAAAATACTAGTAGAAATAAAAGGATAGGAGTTCACTAGCCGATGGAATTAGGTCTAAAAGGCAAAACAAAAGATCGCGAAATGGAAAATCAGTTCCTAAAGAACTAAAAAAAAATAACTTTATTTTATAGCATATGTTAAAATGACATTTTAATAGGTTTGAATCAATAGTCTAAGTCGTTCTTAAACCGTGAGGATAGATAAAGTGATCACTCTAACCGCTAGGGTAAATAAAGTGAAACGAATGATTGTGCATGCTAATGACATATGTCATTCTCATTTGAAATGTCACGCGGAGCCAGATACAAACGTGAGATTCAGAACATATAACAATGTTGTTTCGCAACCGCAGAACCGAAGCTTGCTATTTTTGACGTCTAAATTAAATTCAGAATTGTCAGAAGCTTTACAATGTTTTCTATGTATGGCTTCCGCTATAAAATAAAGTTTTGTATTATACGCGACGATAATTGCAAACTAACCATCTCGTCAAAGTCTTCCACTCAATGCTTAAAATATCCCTTTATCGTCTTATATAATAAATAACTATTTTTGGCTCGATTTTTGGTAAATACATTGCTGTGTAAACAACGCCTTTAGATGTCATTTCGGTTCAAACACCAAAAATAATGACAATTTTATTAGGTAAATCTGTGGGGTTATTTACGAATAAACACAAAGTTGGTTTATTTGACTGAATTTGTATTTCCGTATTTGTTTTTCCTTTTAGACACTTTATCGCTTTTAAATAGTTCAATTTAGATAAGATGCTTTAACTAAGACGCATCTGATCAAGTTTTCTCACTTTGTAAAAGCCTTTTATTTATTCATTTGGCATAAGTGTTCATCAAGCAAAAGTTAATTAGTTTGTATCTTTTGTTTAGGAATGGGGACGCGTTTAATGCGTTCGTTTGTCAAAACTATCGGTGATTGGTGAGGTTTCTGAAATTTTAAAGCGAGAGTGCTGGTTTCACAACGGTTGTAGAGCGTGTATTTTTGTTCTCGGGCGTTCAGTCCTATTTGTTTAATTGAAAACACAGTTCGTCATTTTTATAACAAATTTGTGCAGATTCAAGTCAACCAAAGTTACCAGCGCCAGTCTGACGGACGGTCATACGATATTAATGGGTCTTACGTGACCAGAACAGCTAAATCAAGATGACGGATGACTGATACTTTCGTTGAGTTGCAGTTTTCGAAACGACCGTGGGTTTGATTCATGGCTCTTGAGCGAGCGTAACTCGTTACTTATCTACCATATCTACTACTATGCAGGTACTGATCCATAGTCTTCCCTCCATTATATCTCAGAGTTATTGTTAAAGTGACCACTCAGCTAAGTTGTCTGTAGAAGCTCATAACACTTTTGCAATCTTTGACAGACGATCATCTGAATATAATGAAAAGAGAACATCAATATTACCACCATTTTATTGATGTTTTATTTGCTCTTCAAATCCTTTGAATGAATATTTCCCAAACTCTATCAGAAACATTTCGAAAGTGGAAGAGCTAAATCTATTGCGAAACAGGTAAAAAGATCAATAGGCGTTAAAATCGCCCTACCCCAAGCTCCCTTTATTTTACACCGCTCGAAATTGTTTTATTGGAATTTTTATCGGTCAAATAACATTTCATAGGGACTAACACATCCGGAATGCACAATAAATACCGTAATAAAGGAGCGCCACTCTAAAATATTAAAATGACCGTAGATATAAATTTTATATTTCAGCGTTTGCGTTAACTCCCATGTTAAAGCATCTTTATATAGTCGCGTAACAACCAAAATTATATGATCCCAAAAACCGCTCGCATCATAAACTGATCTCCCGAATCATCTTAGCAGAAAGCGGATGGAACGTAAAACGCATGCTAAATTCGCCATTAAGAAAATATGGTTCATTGAGATAAGTAAATCGTTTATCAATACTGTAATTTATTCAAAATTCCATCATTGGGATACATCGGGAACTGTATTTAATTTACATGCAAAATGAGAGGTGAATTAAATAGTCCAAACGAGTATAATAACTTAGATAGTAGATTAGAGTACACAATGAAGGTGAAAGGGTTATCTGGGTAAGTGTAATGAATTTTTTTTATTACATGTAATGGACTACGTAAATGAGGAATGTGTCCCTGCACGGTATACGAGTTAATACAACCTTTTGTTTGCGTTTTTAATCCAAAGGAATTTGGGTTTTACATTTTATACCGAGCTTAATACTGTTTAGATACTTTGGGAAGCAGCAAACGATAACGTTCCATTGTTAAAAATATAGATAATAGGGGGATACGTTATCCACGCACAGCATTCGCCCCGACTAAACAATATCTTCAAATTATTCTGTTTCATTTCTAAAACTTTAGTCATTTGTTATGCGTACTTTATTTAAATAAAAAATGGCATCCTGTCCTTCCATTAAATCAATGTAAATTAGTGAAAAATTATTACTCTTAATCATATTACCAATGATCTAGAAGTTCGAATATGATAACTCGAAAGAGGCATGTAACAAGAACATTTATTGGCGTAAAATTTTTTGACGGAAGAAAAGTTCAAGTCTATTTTGTCCTACGGCGAGCTTTTAATATATTTCTCACACGTTCGTCAATG